TTCTCTCTATATTCTTCTACTGAAGAGTTTACTGCCGCATTTTTAGTACCTGTAGCTATCTATCTCCATACCTTCTCTCTATATTCTTCTACTAAAGAGTTTACAGCCGCATTTTTAGTACCTGTAGCTACCTATCTCCATACCTTCTCTCTATATTCTTCTACTAAAGAGTTTGTCACTTCGAGTTTTCCTGACAAGTGGCTTATTTCACTTTCTTTAGCGATAATCTAAAAGATATATCAATACAAGTTGTTATTTTTGAGATAAGAAGGAACGGTGCAAGTCATAATGCAGCAGAATTAAGCATTTCAATTAAGAATTTTTGTTAATATAATCTTTCTCTCATTTATAACCCTGACGTATAGTAGTGATAAATTATGCGTTCGGTGTATATCCCTAACGATATGTCTTTAAGTGCCAGGGATAAACAAGTAATCATACTCATGAGATTGGTTCACGAGCTTTTTCTTTCTGTCAATCTGTCTGTCTGTCTGTCAATCTGTCTGTCTGTTTCTCTGTCTGTCTTTCTGTCTGTCTGTCTGTATACCTTTTCTTGCAATCGTTGTATCTTCTCTTCGTATTTTCTCATATATGATTTTTGTCTTACTTTCTCTTGTTATTATCTAAATGTCTGTCTGTCTGTCTGTCTGTCTGTATACCTTTTCTTGCAATCGTTGTATCTTCTCTTCGTATTTTCTCATATATGATTTTAACCTTTCTATTTCATCTGACTTCGAAGTTGTCTAAAATATTGGAATACACCCAGTTAGGTCTGTTTTAACCCACTTCTCTGTTATATTAGGACAAAACAGGGATATGCGCAAGCGCCAAATCATCCTAGTAAACTACATTGCTGCGGTGGACTTCCACCACCAAAATGCTTCGCGAAATTTCTTTCTTATTGAAATTTGTATTCCCTTGTGAGAATAGTAAGACAATTGGTGCTAATTAACAGAACAAAAGAAAGTGTTCAAGGGAGTCTGGTCCTATTTGACTTCAATTGATATCCTAAAAGTCGGCCGAACGTTTCATAGAAAAACATTTAAATTCAAACATTAGAACAATTATAATACAATACAAACAAACCCTAGATATAGACATTGGATAAACGGATTAGGATAAAAGTTCAACTTCTGAGACCTACTCTAGAATTTTTTCGAGAAGTTATACAGACATTTATGACCAGTCATGTTATCTACAACTGCTTTCTCGTTTGTCAGCATTGTTCTAATGCCACAGTATAATGATTTCCTTTTCCAAAGTCTGGTAGCGACCTCTTGGTTCATGGGATCGTGCGAGGATGAATTTGGGGAGAGATGAACAACCTCTACCATCTCACGTCCCCCCAATCATTCCCACAATCCTACACACCACTAGGTCGTTACCAGCATTTCTTTGACCTTCGCGAAGGCGAACTGTCTGATATTCCTGCTTGTTGTACAGTTTATTTACCTTATCTCTGTGCTCATCTAAAATACACCTGGTTTCACTCAGACAGCCCTGAAGCTGCATTTTCTCTCGTTCTAGTGATTCTATCTATATAAAGACGACGAACAAATGGTAACATGACCAAACAGTATCAACAAAAGGGTTCAAAAATTAATCGTATATCCCATCGGGGTAGGATAGTTCTCTGTACCTCTTCTCTTAGTCGGTCTACCTTGACTTCATATTCTCGTAAATAGGTTTTCAATGCTTCTATCTCATCTGACTTTATAGAATACTACAGCAAGAGAAATGATCATTCAGTTATGCCGAAAATCTCTCTTTCTCAAAAGCATCACAATATTGCGCGAATGAGTTGCGCTTCGCTTGTTTGCTTAAAATTGCATCACCTCTTTACACCTACACGTACAGCTCGTTCTTTAATTATAACTCAATAAAACCTAACCAGGGTTCGTGCTGAGGTAACCACTTAAAATTCAAGGACTATTCAAGGAGTATACAAGGATCCAAAAATGAATTTTCAAGGAGTATGTTCAGCTAAATATGACAAGGTTTTGCACATGGCCGACTTTCAGATTTCCAATCTTTCTGACTAGATCTATTTCAGAACCATGCAAGTAATGATCGAAGCAAAAATTAAAGGAGTTTTCAAGGAGTTTAAGGAGTAGCACAAACCCTGCCTAACGGTCTTTCGTCTCGTAATGTAGCGCACTGAAACAACTTGGAAGGTATCTAACTAGTCTCACTAGCCCTACCGACACGCCTTTTTGTCCTCACAACCCATTAAACCCATCGCCCTGTCTGTCTGTCTGTAGTATTGTAATGTAGCGCAGTGAAAGACCCCGAAAGGTATCTAACTAGTCTCACTAGCCCTACCAACACGCCTTTTTGTACTCACAACCCATTAAACCCATTATTCTTTCTATAATCTTGTAGGTGAATGGCATCCTGCATCCTACCTGTGTTTTGTAATCATTTACGATCGAATTATTTTCCTTCATGCTGGCACTTAATTCACTATTCTCACTTTCTAACCATTCTACCTGAAGTCCAAGAGATATAAGAGACGGATCATTAGATTTTTGAGGAGGGGGGGGGGG